GGGAAAGATAAGATGACTGAGGAAGAGCCTGGGTCAGCCACCACAACTTGAGACTTGGCAGTGTTTTTAAGAAAAAATACTGAGATGTTTTTAACAGTTTTCATTAGCAGGCTTTAGCTTTTGACCTCTTTTGATTGCTATGTGTGTATTTTGAGGAGACACTTGGATAATATTCCCAATATGCTAAAGTTAAAAGGGAAAAAAAACATAAGATGAAGAATAAAAAAAATATTAAAACGGAGCAGATGTTTTCAAGTTACTTTGCTTCTCTCTTTACAGAGGAAGATAATGGAGAGCTGCCTAGGACAGGGAACATATATCCTCGTGTACTAGGGAAGGAGTTAGCTCTAACATCATAATAATAGAAATGCTTTTGAGAAATGGGACACCTCTAAGGTAGAGTGTCAAGTTTAGTTAAAAATATATATATGTAGCTTAAGTGAAATGTTGTCAATGATTAAATTATGAAAATATATCGCCGATGTTCAGATTCAAACGTGCAGAGAGGCAGTCTGGACATGTGCTGTTCTTGTCACTGGTTCTAGCACAAGTTTTTCTGCAAGGGTATTAATTTGGAGTAACTTGCTTAAGAAATCAAGGGTGACTCAATCGGATTTTTATGATTTATTGGGTAACTGGGTACATAAATAATGTATCGTGAGAAAAGCTAAGTGTGTGTTTAGAGCACATCCTGTACTTTGCAGTAACTGCTGCATTCACGTACGTGCGTTCTCGTAAATGTAAGGTGCTGTGTTCCTGAAAGCAAATGCGGTCACTCTCTGTAAGACCTTTCCATTTCTTAACTTTAATAACATATCTCAGTCATCCGTGTAATGGCTCTTTGGTAGGATCCATCTTTAACGTTGTTTGCGTAGGCACGTACTTGCTATTGATTTAATAAGCTATGGTAACCTTAGGTAAATAACGTGTATTTTCTCATCTAGTTAATGTGGATGAGGAATTTCACTTCTTGGGCTTTACTCTTTCGGCTGGAGATACGTCTCTAGTTGCTACAGTAGAACGTTTTGAGGATAGAAGTAATTCCTGGTACCTTCTGTTAATAACCAGCTGATCAAATTGAGACTGACTTAGGCAAACAAGTCACGTTCACGTGAATGGCAGGGAAACGAAGATACCATTGCTGAAGTTGGAGGTTAAGATGGGGATCTGTGCAACAGCCAGCACGTACATCGCTTTGATAAGAAACGCTTAAACTGTTCCAAAGCAAAGGGTTACGTTTAGTTTGGCACTGTTGTCTAAAGAACGCAGCTGGTTTGTGATAAACAGAGGAATGTGAAGCTTCTGGTGTTGATTTGATGTATTCTCTGATCGAGAAGGGTTAATTCTGAGTTGTTTTCCCTTCCTCAGGTTGTGGCCCTGGTGTTTTAGCCGATGCCAAGATGCGGGTATTTGAACGTTGCGTGTACTTTGGTGATTCATGCCAGGATGTGCTGAGCACCCTGGGGTCTCCGCACAAAGTCTTCTACAAGTCCGAAGATAAGGTGAGGGAGCTGATTTGGGCACAGGACTTTGTCTCTGAGTGCTCTCTGGGCCTGCATTTTGCAAGGCCAGTGGAGTTAAATTTCCATGCACAAATGATGAGTGCTTCACTTGACGTGTAACAGACCAGGATGAACTGTTAGATAATTTGATTTTAAAGAGTTTTTTTAAGCTAAATTGATGTAAGTCTGTTAAATCTTTTTTTAAATGAAATTGCATCATTTTAACTGGTTTAAAAATT